TTTTTTTTTTTTAAATAACAAACTGACAACTTGCAAATAAAATGTTAAAAACGCATCATCATGGTACACCCTAGTGTACTATACAATTTTCAATATAATGGAAGTAGTTGTTGTTTGGGAATAGGTAAATTAAATATTTTGGTGTTTAATATATATATAAAGTGAAAGGGGGTTTTGGGTGATAAAATTTTCTTTCCCAAAATACCCCTCTTATCTTTTATTTTATTTTATTTTTTTAAAAAAAAAAGAAATAAAGAAAGAAAAACTACCTAAATTTCTTTTAAAATAACTAGGCATGATTTCAGATCGGATATCCGATCCGAAATGTGATTTCAGATCGGATATCCGATCCGAAATGTGATTTTGGATCGGATATCCAAATACTCGAATATCAAAAATTGATATCCAAATCCTATTGAAAATTTCGGATATCCGAATATCCGATATTTGGATATCCAAACTTTTCGGATCGGATGCTTCGGATATCCATTATCCAATATTAAGTAAAATTGTTATGATTACTTTGTAAATTTCAGTAATTTTACCGTTTTTTTATCGCTAAGTTGTACAACATATTTTACTAAAATAGTAGTCCTTTTAATTTGCAATAAATATTATCATCAAATATATTAAGAATATTATAATAAGTTAACAATACAAGATTATTTTTTGTATGAACAATTTAAAAATCTTATACTTCGTATATATTTCACTATTTTATATATGTTTATATATTTCGGATATCTTTCGGATATCGGATATCCAAAATTTTGAAAATTAATATCCAAATCCGCATTTGATGTCCGTCTTTTCGGATCGGATATCCGATCCGAAATGAAAACTCGGATCGGATATCCAAAAATTCGGATCGATTGCAGATCGGATTATTAGATTTTCGGATTCTCGAATAATTTTGTACAGGTCTTAAAAATAACTACCATCAATAAATAAATAATAATAAAAAAAAAGTACCATTCTTTATTAAAAAGTTAAAAGCTAACTTTTCTTTTTTATTTTTTATTTTTTTAGGGAATTCAAAGTCGTCTAACCAGTGTATGTGTTTAGTGAACTCCAAGAATAACCCAACCCACTTAACCACTTTAGCTACACTAAATATATAAAAGCATGCACGAACCATTATGAACATCCGGTTTAATTTGATGGTTGTTCGGGCGCTAAAGTTGGAGGTTGAGACAAATGACCATAAGAAGTAAGACCATAAAATAGTTCACTTGTAGACGTCCATTCCACCGGTCTCAAATTGAACATCAGTGCCTAAAGAACGGGCGGCTGAGACGACGGAGGTCATCACGAGCATTGCCATGGCTATGAACACCACCTTACAATTTGTGAATGGACTCATTTTTGGTTATGTTCATGGAAAGTTGGGTTGGAACATCCATGCATATATGTATAGAATTATAGGTTAAATAATTAATTAACGAGATAGCTGTACTTAGTTGTTAGAAGATACATTATACATACGTAATTACATAGTACATACTGTATTTATACTCTATGTTAGTTAGACGTGATTTCCACTTTCACTTAATAATATAAGATAATATATTCCATTGTTTTAAAATTTAAAGTCATAATGAATATGGCTAGGGCTGTTCATCGGTCCGGGACCGGACCGACCCGGATTGAACCGAAGGCCGAAAATTAGAATTTTAAGAATCGAAGACCGGACCGATTAAGCTAGGACTAAATCCGGACCCGACCGAAAGAATCGGTCCAAAACCCGGACCGGACCGCTTTGGACCGATTTAAATTTTTTTTTAAAAAGAATACTAAATTTTTTATAAAGTTTAGGAACACACAAAAAAAGTATTGGAAAAACTATATTGTAACGTCATTTTTACGTCTTTTTTTTGTATGCTTAGTGCAAAAAAGCTTATAAAGTTAAAGTTTTCTAAGCTTATTAAGGATAATTTTAACAATTATTTAAGGTTTCACACATATTTTTAATAAAAAAACCGGTCCGGTCCAAAACCGGTTTTTATAGGGTATTGGACCAGAAAAATGAATTTCAAGACCCGAAGACCGGACCGATTAATTCAGTCCAGTCCAGTCCATTTTTTCGATCCGGACCGATTTATGAACACCCCTAAATATGGCTCATATCAAGTCAATTCTTGTAAACATAAGTGAGCTGAGAGATATACTCGATGAGTAATTATTTACAATTTTACATAGTGCAAATTAATATGTAATATAATTATAAAATGATGATTTTTTAACCATCTAAGCTAATTATCTTTTATGTTATGAATATAAAAATAAATGTATATAATGGATAATCATAAGGTCTGATTATTTGAAGAAAAAAAAAACCTTAAATATCAAATACATATAATCACAAGGAATAATTAAAGTAGCAACATGTTGCAACGCCCGTGCTACACACTAGTTAACTTTTATAACTTAGGGCATGTTCGGCAAAATATACCTGTGAAGGTAGCCGTAGCTGTGGAGATAGCTGTGAGCTGTGGAGATAGCTGTTAGCTGTCAATAAGCTGTTAGCTGTGAAAAAAGATAATTTAGGTATGATTGTTCGGTTGACTAGCTGTTACAATGATACAATCACAAAAAAAATTAAAAATGGACGTAGCGGGGAGGAAAGATACAGTTTATAGGAAAATGAAATACGGAGCAATCTAACCGCCAATTTTTATTTGGAAAATGCTACGCATAGCCGGCTACATGTAAGCATTAAATTTACACTTGAAAATCGTAAAAAGTTAAGAAATTATAAAAATATAAATACTAATTAGTAATTACACTAATTTTCGCGTGTTTTTGTCATGAATTTCTAACTTTATACAATTTTCAAAGGTTATTTAATGCTTATATATAACCCTTAGGACTACATATAGCATTACCCTTTTTATTTTACTACTCGTATTAATTTATCATTACAAACCTTTATTTATCTTGAAAAATAAAATAACGAGGTTGCTAATAGATTTGGCGGGATTTTTTTTTTTTTTTTAATGAGAATTAAACACATGGTCATCAATGATGTCAGCGATAATTACTTTAGAAATAGTTATAGATTATAGATTGTTGACATTAATGGATACATGCTAACTAGTTCCTACGGTTCTATGTATATGTCTCAAAAGTTTGTGATAACTTCTTCTTCTTTTTTTTTTTTTAATAACTTATTTATTAGTGTTTTAACAATTTTTACGCTCTAAAATATTTAATTACTTATTTTTCATCACTAAGCTAATTCTTAAGAATAGTCACGAACATTTATACCTTAAAAGATCACGAAGCTAATTCCTTAAGAATAGTCACGAACATTTTTCATCACAAGGGGAGGTAGCCTACACCTTATTTTGGATGATATATATCATGTGAGCAGTTTGCTAGAGTATGTGTCGTGGAGTTTTGTTCGTAGGGAGGGAAATAAAGTGGCTCATGAGCTTGCTCATTGCTTGCCACGAGACTCTAGTTATCGTATTTGGTTTTTGAATTTTCCTAGTTGTATTATTTCTATTATAGAGCACGAGCTCCCTATGAATGAAAGCTAATTGCCTTCGGGCTTTGATTAAAAAAAAAAAAAAAGAATAGTCACGATCATTTATACCTTAAAAATATTTGTTTATATATTAATTTTGCATATTTTATACAAATATTGTGAACTTTGCATATAAACATAACACAATGATATAAAGTAATACTACCTCTATTTTTAAAGTTGTAATTCTACTCACTACTTCCTCTATCCCAAAATAACTGACACAGTTCCCATTTTGTCCGTCCCATAATAATTGACAGGTTACCAAATATACCATGATTCCACTTATTAAAAACTATTTTCCTATACTCTTCCATGGCTCATTGTTTTTTGAGAAACAATTTTAGCCACATAGAAAATCAAAAGGAATTTTTTAGAATAAACAAATGTATCATTGTCCCGTTCACCGTATTTTCACTTATAAATTAAGTTTTGATAAGTTTAGTTTAGGAAAAATAAGTTTTGATAAGGGTTGCCTAAGTTCAAATTACAATTAAAATAAGTTCTAATAAGTTTAGATAAGTTCTGGTAAGTTCAGATAAGATCAAATAAGTAAAAATCAGGTGAATAGAACACACCGGTGTCACCCAAAGTTCTCTTAAACTATTCATCCCAAGATTCCCAACTTCCTAAATAATACGAAGTATGGGATAGAGGGAGTATTATTTTTAACTTCCTAAACTTCGTATTTGTTTTTTAACATCCGCAAACCTTACTTTGTGAGACCAAATCTTATTTAAATTTCTATTCCTTTTTTTTAATGCAAAAGCGCAAGTGTCCATTTTCACTTTTCCTTAGTTTAGAATTGAATAGAGCTTAGGAAAACGAAGGGAGGGTCACTAATACTCCATATTATATTAGGTTGTATGTTATCACCTTATTTAAACTATATCTAAACTTACAATAATTTAATACTCGCTTACTCGGTAGATCTTATTCGAACTTATTTTAAGATCACGTTTCTCTTACTCGATTTGGTATTCTGATATGATTTAACCAAATTTGAATTATTCTTTTTTAGGAAAAAAAAAATCTATCAAATGTGATATCTTATATTCTCATTAATGCATAATTTCCTAATGTGAAGTATTATTGTATAAACCACAGATTAGATATTAGTGACGAACAAATTCTAGCGAAAAAGGACGATCTAATCATTTTAAAAGTAAATAAATATTCACTTAGATAATAAATAGGTACTTAATAAAGTAATAAATTTAACTACTTAGCTAAATAGTCGAACAAATAAGTTAATAAGTTCGAACAAGATAAGTCGAATCCAACATCAAAACACATGTTGAAAGTGTACTTTAAACATGAGTAACGAGTCCTTGAAATGTGGATGTTAGGCACTAGAAGACGCATTGAGATTAGAAGGATCCAAACGTTTCCAACTCTCCCTTCCTCTTCTTCACCTCTTCTCTCAACTTAATCCAACAAATATAGTAAAGTATCAGAATCCCAGGTGTGGGTTGCGTTAAGCTTAGCTGTATTCACAGATTTTGCTTGGTGGAATTATAATTTATTTTCTTCATTTTGGGTTTTATTTTTGTTTAATTATTATTATTATTTTTTTTTTTTTTTTACAATTTTACATAAAAGTCAAAGCAGAAGACTGTGAATTTCTCCTAGTCTTCTTGCCTCTTGCGTCACTTGGGCAGCTCTAATTTTTTTCATCTTTCTTCCCTTTTCTTCTTCTGGGTTTACTTTTGGAATAGTTTAAGCTTCTGGGTTTTGCTCAAATTTCAATTTTACTGAATTCCAGCTTCAGATTTTGGGTGTTCTTGGGTAAAATTGTGTTGGGTTTTGTTCGAAATTGTTGGTGGTAATTCTCAATAAATTTTGAATCTTTATACTTAATCTCTCTTTTATTGCTGTTTTCTGAATTGGGTTTTAAGTATTTTCTCTTAAAATTGCTTAATTGTAAGTTGTTTCAGACCAAAACTTAAGCTTCCTGTGGTTTTTGATCTGATTGTATTGATAAATTAGGGTTTTTTGCTTGCTAAAATTGTGGGTTTGGGATTTAGGAACTGGGTATATTAGTTTTTTGGGATTTTGATTGATTCTAGTTTGATTTTGGGGGTGATCACTTTATCTTCTTCATTTGGGCAGTTTTTGGTTCATTTCTGGATTGTTGGGCGCTAAAGATTGTCTCATTTCAAAGGAGTTGTACTATTTATTTGGTTATTTGGAGGTTACTATTCCTGAATTGATAGAGGTTGTGGAGGTGGTGATGATGGTTGTTCATGAGGAGCCAAACAGTGAGGGTTGGAGTGCAAGCTGAAAAGGCGGCTTCAAACGGGATGCCGAGTTTTGATCCTCCGACACCAATATCTAATACACTGTAAATTCATTCATCATCCTTACCTCCTTGATTATTAGCACTTTTTAGTATTGATTTTATTACCCGCTCTTTGCTTTAAATACAAGTCTTGTGTGAAATTATTTGTTGCTCTTGTATGGTTGGAGGAAATCTCAATTCTAATTGGGAAACTTATGATTTACACATTGCCGAAAGTGGCATTCATGGCTCATGATTGGCTTGTCCTTTGTACTTAATTGGCAGTGTCTACACTGCTACTCCTAAATTTTTTCGTCGTATATGAGTTGACTATCACGGAGTTGCTATGCTATATCTTTGTTCCATAAATATGAGTGATTCATTGGCTTCTCAGGGTGGTTTAGTAGTGTATCTTGCTTGTTTTACAGTTCTGTTTCATGTTATGGTGTAAGCTGTTAGATGATTAACTAGATTCTGTAGGACGTTTATTTTTCAATAGTTTCTTGTGAGAAAAATATGGAATATTTCCTTCCATGTAAGTGTTATCATGACTATAGACTCTTGAGAGATTCAATAATTTTGTTTGACAGCAACAAAATTCATTATATTCAAGGCAAATGATGATCAAACTTGTGTCCTGTTCAACTCGTCAAAACATAGCTCAAACTTATTTTGTGGACATTCATAATTGTATCTATTTGCTATCCTTGATTTTCGTGGATCAAGATTTTTGACAGCATTCCTGCTTCGTTCAATCTTTCAGTTATTACCATCATTAAGTTGTGGTAGATGCAAAAGTTTATTGTTTTGTTTTCTGGTTGGTACAAAGGCTTCCATTCAAGTATACAATTTCATATAATGGCTGCCTGAATCGGTCATAGTATGGAGAGAGCTAGCCCTAGTGGTGATGAGCTAAAACCATCCTCAACATGGTTCTTTGACACCTAGTATCAAGGACGATATCTCTTGCTTATATCATTGAGTGATTTTTGAGATAATTAATCTAACTTGCCTGTTGACTTCAATGTGTGTTAGTTGTTGGTCTAATTGGTAACTTGAAGCTCCCTCCCAAAAATATTAAAATAAAAAATAGAATGGTAACATGTAGTTTTCACTTCTATTTCTAAAATCGACTAATTTCATCATTGTGACTACAGTGAAGCAAGCTCTATTTCCTGTCGAGTTTCTGATTTTGGACTTTTGGAGCAAACAAATGGGTTCCTGGTGGAAAATACTGTAGGTCTTAGAAGTAAGCTGTTACCTTCCTTACTCTATCGATTAACCACTTTAAACTTGCATGTCTAAGTTAGAATTATAGGGTTCATTGTTTTGAAAGCCTTTCTAGGATACAAGATGTGGTTAACTATCTATCTTGCTCTTTTCTAGTCAAATGAGAAGCCAATCACATGTTCATACTCATACTTTATTTATTCAGAAAAGGAAGCCACATGTTCGATTTTTACCTCCTACTCGTGCCACATAAAATTTTTGGGCAGCATTTATTGTGTTAACTATTTCCAGGAAGTACTAACACTCTATAAGTCAAATTGTGTTTGGTAAAAATAACCTTCTTTGTTTGCCCCGTTTGTTTTGTTTCGAGTTGCTAGTTGTTTTCTCTCTGCTGAGAAGAAATGGAGAAGTACTGTACTTGAGTACATCAATGGATTGTTCATGTTGAAACTAACTGATGAGGGGCAGGATCAATGGACTAGTTGGTGATATACCTTGTAACCTATATTTTTTCTTGCTGATACTGTCCACTCTCATATTTGAAACTATCAGTGTATGATCTCGAAGTTATGCTGTATAATAATATTATCTTATTACCTCATTGTTTTATGTTTACATAATGGCGACCTTTGGTGTGATTTTATCTTTTTTTCTTCTTCCCCTTTTGTCTTTCCTTGAAGCACTTGTGAACTAATATTCTATTCTGAATCATAGTTTCATTTGCTTTGTCATGTTTGGTACATTGTAAGTCACATTCGAAATTTGACATCATATAATATACACACAAATATATGCCCTTTTGTTTTGAGTATAGGATTCTTCATGGAAATCTTAGTCACAGTAATGGATAAGATCCACAGAAGAACAACCCTATGATAATTGCTTGAGAATTGAAAATTTTGTTGCTCACTTTTTCATTCAGTGAATGTGCTTTGTTGCAGACTCTGTGATTAGCTCAACCATATCAGTTGGGGGTCAAGTTGTTCCATCTGATCCTTTTCATAGCATCTCTATTAAGAAGGTGAATTTGTGCATATACTGATTGCCCTTAGCCTTTTTTCCTCTTTTCAAGTAATGCGTGTCCGAGCATCGGAAAGTGTTCTGCATTGCCCATGTATTTTATTCTGATACACTGTCAGAACTCTGTTGATAAATTTTCTGTATTTATGCATCCCTGTGCTTATTTTGTAGCTTAAAATATGTGTCTTTAGTCTTTGTTTAAATAAAATATTCTCTATCCTACAGGCATCACCAGGTTTACTATATATAAATCCATCTGCTACGCAATCGCAATCCAGTCTACATAAGAATCTGGTTTCTTTTTCTAGTGGTAGTTTGGAAAATTGGGGAGAGTCTAACATGGCAGACGGTAGTCCAAGAACAGATATTTCAACGGATGCAGACACAGATGAAAGAAACAAGAGGGTAATTTTTCATATTCCTTCTGATATAGAGAATCCCGTTGCTAGAGGCCTAATGGGTTTATAAGCTTTCTTCTAATAACTTTAATTTAATTTGGGGAAGTTCAAGTTTCTATGTGATGATCAGACTCATCATTGGATAGCTATATATATTGATGTAACTCATGGCATGTGGCTTAACGCTGTGGTTGCTAACTATGCAGTTTGATATAGTTACATCGGCTCATGCAGCTTCTGATTCGAGTGACAGATCCAAGGAGACTAAAGATCAGAAGGTAAAAAGCTGACCACTACTCTTTTTCCATGCAATCTAACTTCACATGCCTTTATTTTTGTGACACCTTTTTAAAATTACATTTGTAGACTCTACGAAGGCTTGCTCAGAATCGTGAGGCAGCAAGGAAAAGTCGGCTGAGAAAAAAAGTAAGCTATCTATTTATTGTTGCTTATGTGCTTTGAGGCTTGTTAAATCTTGAACGTTTTCTTACTTTTAAGCTTTTATTGTTAGAGAAGGATTCGATGTGTAAACAAGAGTCACAAAGCTGATACAAAATTTTAGCTCAATGTCATTTTATTTTTTTGACCTTTTTCTCACGTTCTTTTATAAATTTTTCTCTCCTCCCTCTCTTTTTTCTTTGTTGGAAGTAGGCATATGTGCAACAGCTGGAGAGTAGCAGATTAAAGCTTACTCAACTCGAGCAGGAGCTCCAACGAGCACGACAACAGGTTAGATCTGGTTGTCTACTTTATTTCTCGTTGATGCTGAAATCTTCACACTAGTTGACAGTAGCTCATATCTTTTTCTTATAGATACTGAAAAACTCCCCTCTTTTTTTTGGTTGTGCTTCCTTTGCATTTTTAGGGAATTTTTATCTCAAGCTCAGGGGATCAAGCCCATTCAAGTGGTGGAAATGGTAAAGTTCATCTCTCTTAATATATGTTCTTGTTTCAGCCTCTCTAGAGGGTGTTCCCTGGATTAGTGTCAAAATGTTATGCTTCAATAAAATGACTGGTGCCACAACTCTTTCAGTTTTATCAGTCATCCTCACATGATATCTGATTTGGCAAATTACCAGGCAGGCCCTCCAATTTTGGGTGTGATGTCTCATATGTATTAATCATTTAATCCCTTTAAACTTTTGCCTTAACTTAGTCCGAAAAAGTAGAGCTATATCAGTATAAGTAGGTAAAACATCAAAAGTTATATAATGATCACAACACGCTCAACTAGTTGATGTAGAATGAATTTATTCTAATGAGTTATGCATTATTGTTGCATTGCAATTATTAATTTATGGAAATGTATCATGAATCTCTGTGGTTCAAATCCCAATTTGGGTCCCAACTTCTCTCAGGATTTGTTGCAGGAAGTATTTTTCTTGGATGAGTTGTCCCTATTGGAAAAGTTTGAACCACACTTATTAATGCCTTATTAATCATCAATGCGTTCTTTCTATCTACTTTATCTGTAAACAATTAGTGACTATTTAGTGGATCATTGTAGAAAGCCAATGTAATACCCACTCATGTGCGAAATGCTAGAAGATTCTGATTAAGTGCATAGAAATACACTTTATTTTTTATTTTAGCATAGAAGTATATTGCCAGCTTAATCACTCTAGAGTAACATAGGGGACCTTGTCTGGGTGAGTGACTCCCTGGCAGTTGAACCATAACATATCAGTGTATGATTCATTATCTTTCTTCAGCTTGCGTAATGATGTTCTTTCTACTTGTGTGGAAGCCTTAGGATCCATATTACATTATTCTTTTTCATCTATTTCCCATGGTGCGTGTTAAAATAAAACCGGAAAATAAGCTGTTTATTTTGTATTTTTTTTTTACTTGATAGAAGGGATCTCAGAGATTCATGGTCATATTCACTATTATAAAAAACAACTGACCTTGTCAATGTCTGTCATCAGCTGGAGCAATGGCCTTTGATGTAGAACATGCTCGCTGGCTGGAAGAGCAAAACCGTCAGATCAATGAATTAAGAGCAGCAGTTAATGCTCATGCTGGTGATGCTGAACTTCGTGTCATTGTTGATAGTGTCGTGGCACATTATGATGATATTTTTAGGCTCAAGTCCAATGCTGCCAAGAATGATGTTTTTCATCTTTTGTCGGGTATGTGGAAAACGCCTGCGGAGAGGTGCTTTCTGTGGCTAGGAGGCTTCCGTTCATCTGAGCTTCTTAAGGTGAGGCATCCTCGGGAATTGTATCTATATTAATTGTAGCTAAGAGGGACATCCAGAGAATTATAGATCGACATCTAACTTCATTTTATGAACATGTTTTTTGGTCACTGATTCAAAGTATGTAGTATATTGTGTGATTTGTATCTTCAGTTATGCTGTTCCTTGATTCTTATCATTTAGTAGTCAAAGTAGCAGAAAATTGTCAAAGCATGATCTTAGAGGCTGAGCAAACTGTTGCTAATTATTATTGTCATTAATTTTGGAGCCTTTTGCACTACTACTTTGGTCCCATTGATTCTGTTATTGTGTTGCTGATTTCAGATGTTCGATGAATTGTCTTAGTTTCAATTTGATACATAGGTGGACTGTATTGTACATTCTGCTACAGATGCTGTGATTTGCTTGATTACAATTTTATGATATTACATATTTAATTGAAGCTCTACTCTGCAGCTTCTTGTAAACCAGCTGGAACCTCTGACCGAACAACAAGTAATTAACATTCAGAACTTGCAGCAGTCTTCACAACAGGCTGAAGATGCATTGTCTCAGGGAATGGAGGCCCTGCAGCAGTCACTGGCAGAAACTTTGTCGAGTGGTAATCTTGGTTCATCAGGTTCATCTGGAAATGTTGCAAATTATATGGGTCAAATGGCCATGGCTATGGGAAAACTTGGTACCCTTGAAGGATTTATTCGCCAGGTAACTTCTTCAAGTTGGAACTATAAGTTTCGCTTGTACTCAGTACAGAAAGAACCTGTCTATTTCAACCTTTTCCCCCTTCTGGTGTGGTGTGGTGCATGTACTCCATATGTTGGATGCAGGGTGGGGTGATGGGAGACAGAAGGAGGGGGGGGGGGGGTGTTAGAAAAGAGCTATAAAATTTCTATTAGGTTCAGATAAAACTTGCTTTGTCTCTGTTATGTCAACTGTTGTTAGAAAAGAAAACAATATACGAAGTACATTCTTTGGGTTTTTTTCTTTTTCTTTTTTTTTTTTTAAAAAAAAAACTGAGGGTTGACTCGGACACGAAGCTTGCTGGTCCAAGCAATTGTTATGCCTGAACCCAAGCTGTATCTTCTAGCTGACCATAGTTTACAACACATCCTCAAATTAAAGGGAAACATCTTTTTTTTTTTTTTGTTTTTGTCATTCTCACTTGCATTCCTTTGATGATTTCTCAACTTAACTATGGCTTTGTTTGCCTGATTGGCATGAAACTTCAGCCGGCGTACATTATTAGGTAGCTGAATTTTCAGCTAAATTAAGCAGGCTTAACTTAAATTAGCAGGTGCTTAACTTAAATTAAGCAGGCTAATAAAGCTGGACAAGGTGCTTGCCAAGGTGCTTAACTTAAATTAAGCAGGCTAAAGCTGGACAAAACGTCAAACTACTGCCTCTAACTTCAAGTAAATTTCAGATTTGTCAAAAAATTTCCCCCCCTTTTCCTGTGGTTTCTATTGCTAAGACTGGCTAGTGATACAAGTAAAAATAATCATTACTGAATGTTGTCTAGCAATTTTCAGTTCGTTCAACAGCAAGTTTTACCAAACATATCCTTGCATTTATCAGCTTTTAGCTTACAGCTAGTTAGCAATTCTTATCAGCTTCTAGCTCTCTGCTACCTTTCCAGCATTTATCCGATTTTTTGACTAATTATACCAAGTATATGTACAATTCTTTGATTCTTAGCTACAGCATATGATCCTTGAATCTTGTGTCAGTATTCCTGTTGTAGTCGCTTGGTAACTTACATGGTAACATATTCCCTAAACATGTGATTTTTCTGTTTTCTGGCAGGCTGATAACTTACGCCAACAAACGCTACAACAAATGCACCGGATATTGACGACACGACAGTCAGCTCGTGCACTTTTAGCAATTCATGATTATTTCTCCAGGTTGCGTGCTTTGAGTTCCCTTTGGCTTGCCCGTCCAAGAGAATGACAACCTTTTAACTCGTTAATCAGGAGTAGCTTTGTTAAATGGCTGGCGCGGGTTTATTTGAGAGATCAGCATGCCAACCCCATTCGTTCATCGGCCCACAAGTCATTGCCTGTGTATTATCAACACCATGACCAACACTGTTGTACCATATTTACTGATTAGAAAGTTGTGAGTTTCTATCATTGTTTTCCGCTTCAAGGAGATCAGTGATGGAATATTTAAAATTGGCTTGTAGTTCTGTTGATGTATTGATTATCATGGGTAAATTATTTGAGAAAATGAAAGTGTTCACACCAAATTTGATATACTAAATTTTATGTGATGCATTTGTAGTTTGGCCGTGTTAAAAAACGTTTTCAGAGTGTATCCAAAGTTGCGTTCATATTTGCTCAGCCAAAACAAAAAAATTGTCAAATTGACAAAATAATTTTGAACTTTTACTTGTCTGCTTATGTTTGAAATTACATTTTAGATGACCCATATGTAGGATGATTGTTAAAGAATTTTGCTTAGATTGGTTTGTCAATTCATTGAGTAAATTGTGGCAATTTACAACTTACTTCAGTCCCTCTTCTTCTTACCTTCACGTCGTTGCCTGATTTTATCAGCAACCACTACAACCCCGTCCCTCTTCGCCTTGATTGACCTCCTCTTCAAAGTTCAAACCATAGCGCCAGTTTGTTTGACGTAAAAATGCATAGGAAGTGAACTTTTTTATGAAGTGGAACTCTCAGAAGCATAATTTTTTGGTTGACAAAATCAAAGAAAATTGGAAATTATAGGAACTTCTACTATATAGGTAAATGAAACTTTTCAAAAAGTTAGAACTTTAACTTTCTATGGTCAACTAAACAACTTGATACATTGGTATGAAATATGAAGTGAATGTGAATATTCCTTATGTTCCAAGTTCCAACGATCATGTACATAGTAGTATTTCTTTCATATGTTCTGAATACTTTCATATTATTAGTCTAGTCTATGTAACCAACTTTCCTATTAGATCAACTTATTATATCAATTCCTTTTAAGTTGAAACCCATCACGAAAAGACAATAAATTTGTGTCCTAAGATTTTATGTCTTCTCCGTATTTCATTTATGTTGACACATTTATTTACATACGAGCATTATGTTTGCCAATGCATAAATTGACTACTGACCTATTGCTATCTTTAACCACTGATGAGACAAAATTAGAAAATTTTGATAATTTAAAATAATTATATATTCTGATAAATCCAACTAGTACCCACACCCACATAAAAATATTTTCTGAGGAAGAGTCAATGAGAAGAGTCCCTCCATTCCCCCACCCAACAAAGTGATGGGAGTTTGATTCCTCACAGCCCCCTTTCCTGTGATAGGGTAGAGGACCCTCCCCATAGTTTACCATTTATTAAAAAATAAAAATATTTTCTTTTACATATAAATTATATTATATGATCAAAGTGTATTGTGTATAAGACCAAAACATATCAACTAAAAGAAATGGAGGTGGTATTAAAATGCTCTGTCAATCATGAGGTATAATTATTTGCACCACGCACTAACTTCTGTCTTACACTCTGATACTTTCTAGGTGCTTGATTTTTATCCAGAATCCAAGGTTTCAAAGAAAAAGGGGTAAAACAAAAATAATTGGCAAAAAATTACACTTTCTTTCTTGTAATATCGATGCCATGATCATTTGAAGAAAAGCAACTGAGATCAAGCATCTAATGCATAATACAAGGAGAGCCAAAAACAGAATTCATATTCTCAGCAGTAACAAATTTTACTACAACATTGTTCTTATTTGGAATGTCCACAACTGGATGCATTCTTTAATGAGCAACGACGAAAATGGCTCAGAAGTAGTTACTTTTGTAGAAATTCTTAAGGAATGGGGAGAAACCTTGCTCTTTGGTACCCAATTCCTGAACAAGTCCATGGTGTCCCACAACATATTGGCCAATCATGTGATGACGCTGCTTTGAATGTTCAACAATGTTTTCCAGTTCCTCCATCCCTTTAAAGATTAACATGTCGATCACCTGCAGATATATGAAACTTGTAAGGGAGACAAAGCAGGTTTAAAACATGAAAGATATTTATCAGCCTTTCCATATAATACAGCTTGGGGTTTATTAGAAATACCCGTATGACTTTTAGCCAGCTTTTTGTTGGTCTTTGGCTTTTAGCTTGTTAATTTGGTCAAATCAAAAAAATTAAGCTGGTAAGTGGCTTTTTCGATGGGTCAATCAGCTACAATGAAACTCTGACTGGAGCAACTAATTCTCTTTGGATTTTAGTTGTTTGACATTTTTCAAAGTATATTGGAACAACTTATTCTTTGGTTTCATGTTGCTAGACCTATTTCACACGATGTATACTACATTTACTATTTTGCCCCAAAACTAGACATTTTTTATACTAATAGCTAACCACAAAAAAAATGGAAATTTGAACCAGCTCTAACAAAAGTCTACTACAGTTCATACAACCAAATTCTCCAGGGTAAAACATAGACTTCCAAGCCACATACTGCATATCGACAACTGGTTTTATCATAAATCTTTAGCGACAAGTCACTACTAGTTGACTGAAAAAACTAATAATACTAATTGGTCAAACAAGACAAAAATGCTTCCGTTGTTGACATCCAAGGTATTCATGATTTTCTTCACTCACATTCAATTGCTTCACTTTTATGACAAATCAGCAACAAAGCTGTACCCTCATCTGTTTGGCATATCTGTTGCCCAATCATAAAAAGCCATGCATCAATCTTCCTCATAACATGTAAACTCTTTCTCTCCCCCTCATTCATAAAAAGCCATCAATCTAATCCAATGGTGTGATCAGACTGACAACACGTAAACTCTTTCTCTCCCACTCATACATAAAAAGCCATCAATCTCATCACTCTATATCTCTAACTGAAAATATGACACAAGCGTGACCACATCCATATACTTGAGCGGTTGAGCCTATGTTCAATACCATTCTGATTCTATTCAAAAGCTTTACACCAGTGACCTAACTTAAATCTTTCAACTTTTTCAAGAGCACGGTGGATGTCAAGACAGAAACGGAAATGGCTGATACTTTGGGAAAATGATAGAGTAAGTACTGAGAATGACATTAACGAAGGTTGAGTAAGATTAAAAATCATCACAAAAAATTAATTGGAAGCTATGGCTGTGACAAAATCTTCAAGGTCTAGGTGAAAACCTGTAGAGGAAAGTTACTGTAGACAGGTTCAAGAGGCTTCCATAGTGAACAAGCACAAAGTGGTATTTTGTCATTGTTCCAAATTCCAATCATGCAAGGCTTTCAACTTAGGACTTTAGGAGAATATGCACTAGTAACAGTCTAAAAGATATAAATACTAATATCAGGTCAAATATGATAATGACATGGAGCTAAGTATCCAAGACTACAAAAACCAGGCAATGCAAACTTTCTTACTCAAGAAAAAATTTAATATGAGGATGACCAACTCTAGGTATTGATTGCATATGAAAATAAACTAACTATGGATGATATCGAGGAAAGGCCCCTTTTTCTGTTTTGGCCTAAAAAACCAGTGCCACTAGATTTTCTAAAATGTGACAGAACTTATAACAAGGTTACCAATGTTGCCATTGAACTCAAATCAAAGCAATTACCACTGATGAAGTACTTTGTGATGTAAGCCCCTTTCAAAGCCTCAATTCACTAAAACAATAGATTTGCCAGTTTGCTTACCAAATGGAGAGAAAATGATGTCATATGCTTTAACACAAATCTTCATGCGCTTTAAATTCCTAATGGAAAACACACGTGTTTTCGAACACCTTGTCTAAACTCAGATATAACACATAATCCTTCCTCCTTTTTTCCTCGGGAAATCCATATTGAGGTCATCCACTTGTACTAACCATAAGTGAACACAAGAATAGCCAGACCCTCAGCTCTTTAGATATTATCAGATATTTTACTGCATCATAGCAAAGGTTCAAAATTCATTTTTCTTCAGCCTTAGAGAGAGCAACTTCACCTTACTAACCTTAAACTATGCAAATCTTGCCATACAAGCCAATGTGTTTGGGCCCCCACTTACATTGTGTATCACCTCAATGAAATCTCCTGAATTTATATTGTCAATTGTTCCCTTAAATAGACCCTAAATCCAGGAAGGCAGGAAATGACCTTAAATTATAACTCAACCTAACCCATCTCAAAGTCCTTAAAATTACCTATTCGAAATTGGGATAATTCCACTCAAGTAGTGTCAGAGTCACTCAAATCACACAACCATCAAGTTGTGACGCTTCCAAGGATAACACCCCCTCTAGATCATTAACATTCCTCCTCAATTAGTAACAAAGTTGGCCATGAAGAAACAAAGCATCTAACCACGAGATAAGGGCGTTGGTCCGTTATAGGAATTAAGTTCCTCAAAGTTTAGCTTCAAAAGTTCAATGATATGACTTCCCAGTCGGCCAGTCCCCATGCCAAAGTTCTTAGAAAGCAATCTATTATATGTATTTGGTAGAGTAGTTGCTAATATCAACAATCCCCATATCACAGTAATTCTCTATAGTTGCATTAAGAAAAAAAATATATAAATAGAGAAAAGGGCTACAAAAGCACTAGGTTCACAAATTAAAAAAAAATTACAATACAAGTGTCCTGTCACCTGATGCTTAAGAGTTGTAGGCCTGAATCACCTGAGAAATTGCTATTTCAAAAGGCTAAAAGCAAAAGAGAAGGAAATTCTATATTCTAATCATTAAGGTGGAAACACTATATGCACCTCTAAACACTACTTTTGAGGAGTATATATTGATGTAGTTCCCTAAATTAAGTTTTTCAGATTAGCATTGTTGAAAACCCGGAAAAAAAAAAAAAAAAAAAAAAAAGAAGCTTAAATTGACCTCAATTCTCATTGCCTTAAAGTGTTTGAATGGAAGGAAAAAAGTTTATTTTCATTAAAGCCTAACAAGCGACAACTAAGGGGGCGTTTGGTTCAAACAATGGTATGGGTTTGGAATGAGGAATGAAACCTAGGTGGTACGGGGTTAGAACTTGATGCTTGATTTCATGTGTTTGGTTTTTATCTAGGAATGACAATTTCTTTTTAATTTTAAAATAAAGGTATGGGTTTGAGCCATACCCACCTCCTTCCTTGGGTTTCAAAAACCCATACCTTGAGGGTTTGAAAAATGAAATTTCTAGAAACAAACACAATGTATGGGTTTTGGCCATTACAAACCCATACCTTATACCTAATATGCTTGAACCAAACACCCCCTAACTTCGACGTTCTCTATTTCCAAAAGCTATTTGGTTATACAATCATCCCTAATAGCTAACAAACAATCTTCAACACTAGAAATCATAACTTATAAGCATTTGCAAAAGATGAAACTGCCAACATTTTGCAGCAAAACACTATATCCAAAAGATGGCAAAACACAAGCCTCTAATTGGTTAATTTCAATCCCTAAAAACATACGAATATTTAAAAAGACGTATACTTCAGGCAATCATTCAATCTTCCAACATCTTAAGAGCATTCCAACCCCATTAACTAATCACATTTGATCATACTCAATCCCTAAAATTGAAATCACTAGCTAACAACCAATGTCAATTCTTTAACAAACCCTAAACCCCTAAAAGCACGAGAATCTTCAAACAATCAAACAAAACAGCACAATCAATGTAACAAACGATATAATAACATCAAAATAAACCCTAATTACACAAAAACGAAGATGAAAATCAAATAATTGAAAAATAACCTTAGGATCTTTAACATGAGAATTCTTTCGGATCTGAGAAGCAATGGTGGAGCGAAGCTGAGAGATGGTGGCGACATCGTCGAGATTGTAGATATCCATGACAGTAGGAAGTGCTCGGCAGGCTAATTTGAAGAAGTCGAAGACTCTTTTACGAGCTTCTTCGAGATTGGCTGAGTTTGGGGGTACCTTTGCTCTCCAAATCGCCGCCATTTTTGGAGCTCGAAAACAACAATGTCGGAGGAGAGAGAATGAGAGAGAAGAAGAATGGTGGGAGGGGTACTGGGTTAGATTGACTCAGAGTTTCAGATTCTGGGTCTCACTTTTCTTATTTCCTGTAGTCTTCTATTCAGAAGTATACGACGTCGTTTGGTTATTAATTTCATGGGTACGACGTCGTTTGGTTCAGAATGCATTATTTTTTATTTTTTAATTATAAATTTGGGAGAATTTCTAAATTTGCCTATGAATTTAGATTAATCACATTTTTCATCTTTCAGAATAATTCAATTAAAATGAAATTTGTTGTAAATTGAAATGCATAAAATGGATATACGTTTGTCGTCATTCAATACCTTATGCTTGATTCCGTCGCAAAATAATTAACACATTTGAACTTCAACCATCTTTTATTATTATATTATATAAAACAATGGAGTAAGTAAGATATTAGATTTATCTTAATGTATATTATTGGATTATAGTTTTATAAAGTATAACAGTAGTAATTTTATACTACGTATTAACTTTTTTTTTTTTTGACAACTACTATGTATTACGGAGTAACTTTGACCATCTATTATTGCAATTACCGTATTTTAGAATGCTCACTCATGTCAATATAAATGTCCCTTCCAAAATTTTTCAAGACCACAGCAGGTCTTTGGTTCACAGTTGTTACAGTTCCCGGTACAGCAATTCTGTAATATTGACACAGCTGAAATCAGGAGGCCATGGCTGAAACAAGCACAATGTGAGACATAGCATTATGAAGCCTTTATCATTCTATGCTTGCTTCTTTTGGACAAATAAAAACTCTATAATATTGCTTCTTTTTCTTTTTTTTTTCTTTTTCTGCAAGATCGCAAGAACTACAAAACATAACTTTTAGCATTATTTCTTATGCAGCTCAGCAAGTATATTCAATGTCCTTCCTGGGAAGTGTTTAATGTTTTACATCGAAGATTAGCAAAGAGTGAACCTAATCCTGACAGAAAATCGAAGCTCGCAGAAGTAATATTGATACTCCCATAGTCCCATGTTGATTGATCCTAAACATTGTCAACTAGGGTAGTTTTCCATTCTTATATGAACATAGTATCCAGGTCAGCAGATTACAATAGCCAGCATATAACTCCAATGCTCTACATTTCTCCACATTCAGCGATAGCACATGGAAGTTTAGGACGGTTGTTTGGTCCAGTGGCAACATTCTCAATTTTCCTGACAACCAAAAGGCCATCTCCTAGCACTCTCTGCAAGGGAAGGGAGTCATACAGTAAGTCAACAAAACAATTCAGAAAAGGATCTAAAGGAAACAATAGAGTTGAAATTTCAAAACATTCCAGTCAGAAGTTATTTTAAAAACATAAATCACTGCTTGTTCCCTTTTGGCGAATAAGAAAAAAAGAAGGGAAAGGGATGAAAAGTAAAGGGACACTACTTAGAGAGATCAAGACTTTAAAAACTAGGAGGCCAAGCTGTTGGACAGACTCATAAAAGAAAACATACAGTACAAAGTAGTATGTTTCTAAAATCACTTGAAATTCCACAAGAGAACATGTGAAAACCGCTACTTGAGCTCTAAGCTTTAAAAGCATCACCATGAAAAACTATCATACTGATGGACACAATTTAATGGACACCAATTGAATTAAGCCCACAGTAAATGACATCTGAAGTTCAACCAAGTTAAAAAAAGTTTAACAAACATGTAAGAACATGGAGCACAAACGGTTTCATCTTCTCTTGCTTTTGGAAAACTTAATTCAGCTTTTAGCAGCATGCAGGCTGACTGGAAAATTGATAATTCAAATTCGAGAGATCAGTTATAACTTTTAATCATGTTGACTGAAACACCAATGTGCCATACTGCTATGAACACCGATCTACACGCATACAAAGAAAGGTTGAGGGTTTAAGCTTTTAAGGAGAGCAGGAAGCTTACCCCAAAAACCACATGCTTATTGTCAAGCCAATCACATTTTGCACAGGTCACGAAGAACTGCAATAACACAAAAAAAAAAAAAAAAAAAAAAAAAAAAAAAAAAAAAAAAAAAATCATATCAGTTCAGCTGCTGAGAGAGAGAGAGGGGGAGGGAGGGGGGGGGGACTATTCAAGGATATGAATGTGAGCCTGCATGAAATATGCTCATTATTATTACAGGATCTTGACTACAAATAATTAACCAGACCAATGAGAATTAGAGCAAGGCGTCTAATAGAAATCCTCCATGGCTCACCATAGAGAGAGGAAAATATGGTCAAAATCGAGATACTCCGGTAATGAAAACAACTGTCCTCGTCAATCATAGATCAGCTTATCTAAAAGTCAAATCCAACTGATCCTAGTTATCCCTTACCCTTTTATCAAACATTTGGATGATTCAATTTATCTAAAATCTTTATCTTATGTCCTGTAAATGACTGGGCATTCAAGGGTTTATAGAAGTAATCCAATGTGGAATACAGTTACAAGAACCAGACCTCTTTTAATTTATCCAACAACATAATTACAGTAGCCAAATATCTAGTGATCGCTGGCAAAAGTTGTCCATTATTAAAAAAAAAAACATAGAAATGACTCATCAAAGATAGCCATGGGCCCATGAACAGAATAATTTTACAAATAAAGGAACCTTTATTTTCCTCGCTCATATTTGCATACAAGTATACAACTCCATGAGAGGCATTTAGTATATATATAACAAAGAGTGCAGCAAAAAAGAAAGGGTACAGAAATATTACCTGGCATCCATTAGTATTTGGTCCACTATTAGCCTGTAGCCAAGGTAAAAGAAACAATCAATTGAAATACAAATCTGAGTATATCAGTGATTTACAATGTAATAAACAGGTAAGAGCCAGATTGTCAACAAGAAATCAAGGATGTTCTCTGCCTTAGAATCAATGATAAAGGATGCGATTCCTGACAATCCCAAAACACACACACACACACACACATTCAGCAACATGACAATGAAGTTTTATACAGATGAGGCACACTTAAGAAGACTATATTCTTCCCCATCTAAACTTGTCGTTACAAGAAGAAAGTGAAAAGCCTCGCCTCATATTATTGCATATCAAGTTGAAAAGGCTCACTATTCGTTTAGGGACATTCCAAAAAACATACAGCAGAGGAGGTTCCATAGACATATGAAGGTCAACTCTAGAGTATAAGACCAGGATGTTTAAATCCCTAGATAGCACCACAACCAATTCACACCAAGACAACAGCACACTCCCCACCTCCTTCACCTCCAAAAAAGAACTATAATCAGTTTGTCTCCCCCCCCCCCCCCTCCCCTGATTCCAAAACTCATAGATCAGCAAGAAGTCAAATTAATCACTGCTACAAGTCTCAAAACATCTCCTACTAATTTCTGTATGCAATGTCTTGCGATGGATTTGAAATGGTTTTATTTAGCCACATCATCCATTTATTCCCAGTCGTAGCTTTCTAAAGTAAAAGTATTTTGTAACATAACCCATGTGAAGTGGAGTTGTGGAAAACCATAATTTTGAAATAAAAAATATGAATTGACACACACCATGAGCTTACCAACAAAAAATTATAATTTCATGCAGATAACCAAGTGAAACTAAGGCAATTACTAGTATACATGAAAGATAGGCTGGACTAGCAAGGAGCTAGGAGAAATCCATAATAAAATGCATATCATTGTATGAGAGAGAATTGGAGCCCATTTAAAGATACATGTGATATTCTTTTAACGATTGTAATTGAGAAAGAAAAGAATTCAAAAGCTTAAAAGAAGGAAAGAAGAATAATACCATTGACAACAAACCAGGGCCAGTGTGTTTTGCAATGAAATTTTCATCCTCAAACTTGGTCCCATAGATGGAAACACATCCACTACCATCGCCCTAGGAGAAATCAGTAACGTCAAAACCTTACCAGAAGAGAAAAAGAAAGATGCTATACACTACAATACAACAAAGAACCTTCACAAGATTTAAAGGAGACATATAGTCAAAGAAGAGCAAACACACCATTCTGCAATAGATATGGTCTCTCATTTAAAAGAAAACTTTAGCAAATAACAGAAATATGCCATGCTAGTTTCAATATCATTGCACAGAGATGGTATGCAAGTCAAAGTTATCTCCTCGTATGATAAGGCAATATCAGAAGGAACAACCTTAATATTCATTAGTTATCTCCTCGTATGATAAAGGCATAATCAGAAGGGATAACCCTTTTATTTTGGTTTGTGCAACTGTAGGTTAGGTATTCAATGGAGGAGATTAAGGAGGACTCATGACCATTATATAACTTCTTGAATTAGAAAATTTTCTTTTCAGCATAAGAAAGTTATAAGAAGACCAAATATAAGAAATAACAGTTCTTACTCAGCCAGAAAGGTAAAAAGCAACAGTTTCTTGGGTAAAAACACTTGATCTCTTAAGAAATTTGTTTTCCAGTATAACACATTCGTTATCTAGCATCAACATCAATGTTCCTTCATATTCAGATTACACACTATCACATACGATGGAAGTCATTAGCCACATTTCTAATTTCTTTAATTCCCCCACTCATCTTTGTGTGTGTGTGTGTGTGTGCGCCTTTTGGAAGAGGGGAGATGGTAGGATACCGCATCGAAAACAATGCTTTAATGAACCAAGAAGCTGACATACCTTCAAAAAATCACCAGCTTGAATCATAAAATCCTTAATCACTCTGTGAAACTGACATCCCTTATAACCAACAGGCAATCCATTTTTCCTGCAAACTCAAACAGACAATGCAAGCAGATTTAATCAAAGCAGAAAGCGTACGAAATGAAGCAATTAAATGTTATTTTCAAAGGCTGCACCCCTTCAGTACCCATAAGGCCATAACCCCTTAAAACAGTCCCAAAATTAACAAGCATTGATTTAATCCATCAGAAAATACCTGTATTCGCCGGTACAAAACTGCCTGTAAATCAAGGAACGAACAATGATCAGAGAAGTCACACCAAAATAACTAAATAAGTATCAACAAAATTATGATCCTAGGCAATGCAGTACAATACGTAAACAATGATATTAAATGTTTAATTATTTAACTGTTAAATCTTTGTTCATAGCCAAGTAGTTCAACTTTACTAAGAAGTTCAAAAGAAAGAGTTTATCGCAAAAATACTAGGTTTTCAAGCTTGCTTATCTAGTCTATGCAACGAAATCTTCACAAATTGATAAAAATTAAGCAATTGAAAAGCACAAAATACCACAATCAATAAATTGAACCCAGAACAAACCCATCAAAAAGAAGATAATTTTGAGCTAAAATCAAATAATTGCAAAAGATGGGTAACCTAAAATTCTCAGCAGTTTTAGGGCAAATATCAGCAAAAAGCTCCATTTTGATGCGACCAGCAGGAATAGAACCAATGGTGATGTCGAAGAAGACGATGGGATTTTTGGGATTGGGAGGTCGTTGGTGCCATTCCACCACCGTTGCTGCGGCGTTGTTGTTGGGTGCTGCTGTTACTGTCGCCGCCATTGTCGGGTTTCTTAGAACTTCAATGGAAAACCCCAGATAAACCCAGGAAATGAGGGGCTCTTTTTTTTTTTTTTTTTTTTTTTTTTTTTTTGATGCAAACGAGGGGCTTTTTTTTTCCTTTTACCTTGGTTGCGTACTTGCGGGAGAAAATTTAATCATGAGCATATTTTATTGGAAAAATTAGAAAAAATTGATCAATTTTGGTAGAATAATCCCAACTTTGGATTATTCTAGAATAATTCGAACTTTGGGGGTCTTTATTTTCTTCAGTCCTAATGACCGGTTACCTGTTGAGAAGGTTAATTTTTTTTTTCTGTTTTTAAAAGCCATGTGTCAGCTTGTCTTTGGTCAAAAAAAATAAATTTAAAAAATAAAATAAATTAAAAATTAAAAATCAAAAATAAAAAATAAAAAATCCCCCCCCAAACTACCCGTTCCCCCACCGAAACCACCCCCTCCCACCAGCCCCTCCCCAGCCCCCACCCCGAAACTACCCCCACCCTGCCGGAAAAACCCCCCTTACCCCCCGACCACCACTCCCCACCGTCGAAACACCTCCCCCTCCCTTCCCCACCCACGAAACCCTCCCCCCTCCCCTTCCCCCACCCCGTAAACCCTTCCCCCCTCCCTTCCCCGACCCCGTAAAAACTCCCCTCCCCTTCCCCCACCCTCGAAAACGGTCGGAAATTAAGCCCTCTTGCCGTTTCCGGCCGTTATCGAGGGTGGGGGAAGGGGAGGGGGTAGTTTTTACGGGGTGGGGAAGGAGGGGAGGGTTTTACGGGGTGGGGGAATGGAGGGGGAAGGGTTTCGTGGGCGGGGGAAGGGAGGGGGAGGTGTTTCGGTGGGTGGGGAATGGTGGTTGGGGGGTGGGGGGAGTTTTCCGGCTGAGTGGGGGGTAATTTCGGGGTGGGGGCTGGGGGAAGGGGTGGTGGAGGGGGTGGTTTAGGTGGGGGGAACGTGGTGGTTGGGAGGGATTTTTTTTTTTTCTGATTTCTGATTTTTTTTTAATTTAATTTTTTTGGACCAATGACAAGCTGACACGTGTCATGTGACCTCTTATTAAAGGTTGTTGACTCTCGTTGACCGGTTTGGGACTGAAGAAAATGAAGACCCCATAAAGTTCGGATTATTCCAGAATAATCAAAAGTTGGGATTATTCTACCAAAATTGATGAAAGTTGGGATTATTTTTTCTAATTTTTCCTATTTTATATTGGTTATTGATATAGTAACATTTCAACCATTTTTGCTCATCAATTTTAGATGAATGCTGGGCCCACGAGATTACTGTTCATCATGAAATTTGCTTATCCTATGAGCAAATTCTGAAATGCTCACGAGCATTTTTCATTATCCTCATTGGTGTTGTACAATTTCTACCAAATTTGCTCACCATTTTTGCTCATGAGAAAAAATAAATGCTCATTGATGTGAGTGCTCTTAGCGATATAGGTAGTGTTTAGGTAGCTTTTTTCAAACATTAAAAATTGTAGCGTTTAGAAGTAGCGGGTAGCGATTGGCAAATTTTAATTACTTTTTATATAATATTTATATCAATTTTGATATATTTTAGTATTGCGATCGCTACTTTTAACAAACACTCATACTATAAACCATTAGTTTAACAGCTAATCTCTATCCACTACTATTGACAGCTACTCGTTACCTTAACAGCTACTCGATACTCGACCGCTAAAAGCTACCCGTTACCGCTACTTTTGCCAAACAGAACCTAAGAGTGGGTTGAGATATGATCAAAGTCATTCTCCTTACCATAAATTTTTAAAATTATCGTAAGTCATTCTCCTTAATTAACATAATTTTTTTTTTTTAAAAAAAAAAATTAAAATTCTCTAGATAGGTATGTAGTTAAATTAGCTTGATCCCGAAGTAAATAATTTCATTTTTCTAAAAACACAAAATTTACTATAAATAAAGACCTTGGAGTCCAAGCATTTTCTCATGTATATATAATATCCATATCACCATATGAACATTTCCCTCATCACACCAAGAAAACAAAAAGAACAGAGGTATCATTATCAAAATTCAAAAATGCAAATATTTGTCAAAATCTTAAATGGAACCTCTAGATAGGTATGTAGTTAAATTAGCTTGAGGTAAAACCTAGCAACACCATTGTCGATCTCAAATCGACGATCGAGGTGAAAGAAGGGATTCCGATGGACCAACAACGTCTTATAATGGGCGACAAAGAGCTAGTCGATAACAAGGACGATTACGAGGATTGCTACGAACGTACCTTAGCAGATTACAACGTCAACAAGGACACAACCCTCCAACTTACCTCTAGACTAGTTAGTGGTTTTCATTATTTATTGATTTCTGCTAAATTAAGAAAATTGGCGTACGAATGCAACTTAAAAAAAAAGATATGTCGCAAGTGTTACGCCCGACTTTCACCTCGTGCTACCAATTGTCGTAACAAGAAGTGTGGCCATAGTAACCAACTACGTCAAAAAAAGTTGCCTCGATTTTTTCACGGTATTTTAAGTAATAATACAAGTACTACCTTACTCTCTTATTATTTGCAATAAAAGATTTTTTAATGTCTCACATATAACACTTTTTTGGAGTTAATACAAATTGAAGGTACTAACGTTTGCCAATAGTTGCAAAGAGAGTACTAACGTTTCAAACGTTGCAAAGAGGGTACTGAATCCACTATTCCAGGTTAATAATCCGGTTGCAATTGCTTATAACCGGTTACTTCCTATTTCCCTTTAAAAAAAATAAAAAAAAAGCTTAATTGTCCACTCAGCTGTACTTTGGGAAGTGAAAAGCCATCATTACACTGACAATGACGCGATTTTTGGAAGGTGAAAAGCCTTTTTATTCACTCTTTCACCCCATTGGCTTCCTCATTACTTTCATTTTCAGATAAAAACCAGAGCATTTCATTCCAAAAAAAAAAACTCGTACTTCCTCTTCAAGAAAATCGCCATTAATGTGGGAGTGTAATTGTCCATCTTCCTGCAAGAAAGCAAAGTTGGCTGAGCTTCAATCTACTCAAGGTATATTCCCTTTTTTTGTCTTCACCTTCTTAATTTCGCCATTGATGGTGTTGTATGCTTGTTCTGTTTTTTTTTTTGGGCGAATTTTGTTTGAAAGTGATTTTTCTTGTTTTAGTTATCATGATCTTGTATTTTGTTTGCGTAATTCTGTTGATGTGGGTGATTATCAAAATTGAATTGTGTTATTGTTGGGTAAAATTTCTTGAGAATTATGTCTAGGGTTTTGGCTTACTGAAACAGAGTAGGTTTTTCCATGGAAAATACCTTGTCTAACTCCATTAATTTACCTAGGTATGGACGCTCTTTCCGTTTCTCACCCAATTTTCAGCAACCCCGATTTGCTTGTGGTCCATGTCTTCTCCAAGCTGGACTAGGGTAGTCGGGATAATGTGAAGAAGGTCTGCAGGAAATGGCGTCTATGGTGGAAGACCCGCCACCTAGCCCGACTCCAACCCTTTTTCGGTCCCAGGGCCTCTGTCAACGAGTGGATCCTCAACGACCTCATCTACAATGATGGTCGTGACTTTCATGCCTGGATCAACAATGACATGACAGTCTATTTTGATGGCTTCCCTCTGCTCTTCAAGGAGGATGTGTAGGTTGTTGTTGTTAGGTTGGGTGGGGGGTATGTGCAGCTAGATGGCTTTTGGGGTTAGGAGCTGCTAGATTTAAGCTTGTTCTTATTTTTTTTTTTTTAAGTTTTAAGATATGAATTGTAGGAGTGCATTGTCATGGTTAAGTAGGTTTTTGTTGTTAATGTGACAAATCATTTATAATCTTTTGGGATTTGTCACTACCATGACAATGCTTAGGTTGAAATGGATGGCTTGGCTTATATAGCCATTTTGTAATGGAACAAATGTATATGTATGAATGAAGCCATTCCTCTTTGTTGTGTTGTTATTATTATGCACTTATTTTATCATGAATCAAATGCTATGATATGCTTATTAAGAGAGTGCTTATTGTGGCAGAAAATATGGATGAATTAAGACCATGTTTAGTTGTACATGAATTAAGGAGAAGACATGAATTAAGACCACTTTATATTTCCTGTAATTTTTGTAACTGCTTCTTCTGATTTTTTTTTTCAATAGATGCAAGGTGGAGAAGATGGCTATGGAGATGAGTATATATGGAAGTCAGTTTTTTTGGAGTTGTACCAGCTATAATTTAACTGATAGATTTCTTGAACAATGGCAAACTTTAGTCACCTCTTTAATAATGTCAGAATTTTAATTTTTTTTTTTTGTTTGGTTAACCTGTTGTAGAAGGTCAATTATGTGGTGAGTACTCTATCTGCAACGTTTGAAACGTTAGTACTCTCTTTGCAACTATTGGCAAACGTTAGTACCTTCAATTTGTATTAACTCCACTTTTTTGCAAATAGAAATGTAGGTAGTATAATAAATTTTTTTATTGTTTCTTTTGGATATAATTTGAGATACCTTGTGAACTTTCTAATGTTAAAGTTACGGTTAATATTTACATATTGTTAATTATGTGGTGTAAATATCTATTGAGAATATTTAAATATTTTCCAATAAATATATTCTACTGCAACAATTTGATACAACCAACACTAAAGCTTATATCAATGATTATTGAGAAAAAGCCACCGGAACCACCCATTTTTTAAAAACCGGGACCAGACCTGAATCTCCCGGTCCGGTTCAGGTATGGGTTCTGGTCCGAGTATTTTTGTACACCCCTAGTTATGGCTATTCTAATTTCTAAGTTAGACTATATTTCTTGATGTCGTTTGGTGTAGATCAAATTTGGTAAAATCAGAGTTCAAGAGACGTGGCTTCATACTCATGGGCAAATTATCTTATCCCTTATTAATTAATTAATGCACTAATCTTTGTTTAAAAAAAATTAAACAAACATACATTCGAGTTGGGTAAAAATAAATCGAGTTGACACTTGAGTTGGTATCTAATTGGGTTAGCAATTAGTTGAGGGTCACAAACTCACAACAAATCAACTCGATAATAAGTTGGGTTAATCGAAAGTTAAATCGGGTTGTAATTTGTTTTGGATTCCCATCG